CGGTGGCCAGGACCCGGGCAGTGTGAGTGCCACTGAAAATCAGTTTGTGTGCCGCCTTTGGCACATGTGCCATAGGTCGCCTACCCCTGCTTTATACCTTTCTTGTACATCGGTAAAAGGTCACCTGAAACTAGATTCAATTAATTAGTTTTTTACTGTGTTTGTTTCTGGTACCATGGTGCAACCATTTATCTCTTGTTCTGAACCTATGCCTTCCAGGTCATGATCCACTCTTATCTTTGTTCTGGGTACATGCATTTCAGGTACTAAGAGGTGTGAGACACCTCCTAGACCTGTACCAGGATAAATAAGTTTGTGAAGGTAACACCCTTTTTGTTGCTATGAGGAAACAATTATATGTCCTGATATTGACAGCTTTCCTTTCTACTTAAGCCTAAATTTACTTCCTCTAATGCTAGATGTTATGGGATACTTAGATAAGTGAACAGGCTTATGATAAAGGTATAGGCCAATTTGTGCTATATAACGGCTATATTAATCCTTAATAATATGTATAATTATTGTATGCCTGGAATACATATATTGCAGATAGTATTCTCAGCATAATATATATGTATGCTAGTCAGCACATATTAGTCAACGGGTCTCTGGGCTGGAACCTGGAGTAATGGGTGAGCCTAGGTTCCCCCACTGGCAAAGCACCCTAAACCCTGAGCAAAGGTCTGGATTTAAAGGGGCCAGCGATGGGGCTGAAGACCCTGGCAGGGACAGACAATTTGGTGAACACTGCTATCCTGGAAGGGGTTCGTGTATGTGACTTGGCTGGAGGGCTGAGCCACTGAAAACCAACCTAGTGAGGTTGGCAACCTATAGAGGCCTTTAGGAGTGGGGAAAAGATAGCAGTATCTCACCCAGCCAGTAGGAGGTACTCAAGGGGTGAGTGCCACCCCGTCATACACACTCTTTCTTTGGGTGATTTTATCTCAAAGGATATTGAAGTAGCACATTACAGTAGCCACAGTTCTAATAATTTCACTCAGTAGAGGGCAATATTGACTAAGAAAAACAAGCGCAAGTATTTGATGAATAGCTATGAATGTCCAAGTAAAATGTTTGAAAAGTTACTTCTTTGCAAACTGTGACTTTTAATTTGTCAGTGAGCCTTTGTAATATAAAACAGACTGGGCAGTGAGCAGGCTCTTATTTTTTTTACTTTCTGGGCTCTCTGAGAATTAGATTAAGGATTCAATCCAGTTAACTTTGACACATGAGTAACCTTAGTTACATGATTAGTTCCACTCACTTCAGTGCACAGTTACCCACATGCTTAAGCATTTGCAGAATCAGGCTCTACATGTGTTCAGTATTTTAGCAAAATGAAGTGAGTCATGCATATACAAATCTAGGATAACTTCAACTGTATGCCTGGGCAGCATGACATTAACATGCAGGCAGGGTTGTATTAGGATGGTGATGAGGTATCTTTCCTCTACACAAGATTTTTCTTGAAGGTTAGGATGTGGATAGATGCAAGATGGCTTGTATTGGGTGAACCTTACAAGTTTCTAGTAAGCCATATGGAAACTACTCTGATGTAGAAATTGGGCTGAAAATTCCATGGAAGAGACTTTGCTGGAAGCTAGCCAGTACTTGTGTGTCAAAAAATACAGTACATGTTTCAGGAATAGCCTCTCAGAATGCAGAGAAGCAGGTAAATTATTTGTAGAGAACATTATTCAGTAAGATTATTTCATCTTCAAACGTGCTTGAGTTTAAGTTGAACTGTGCATCTAGAATCTTTTGAACTGCACTTGCAGTCCTAACTCTGTGGATACCTGAAATACACTCCCTAGATGCACACACAATCTCATGTCTCCAGGTGTCTCCTACAGAGATAGCTAACCAAACTCTGACAAACTAAACCCTTGTATTCTTTCTGTATTTCTTTCCTCTTCATTACTTAAGGGATGTGTGTGGATACACACATACTCACACAGATATTAGACAATCTCTCCTTTCAAGTGAGAGAACAGAAAAGATGCTAGGTAAATCCTCCCCTAAGGGGGAGTCTGTCCTGAACTAACCTGAAATAGAAAACATGTACATAGCACCGAGGTGCCCTAGTCATGGACCAAAGTCCTTGAATGTTCATGGACCTGGAATCTCTCTCCCTAAGCTCCTGTCCTAAAAACTAACTCCTGGAGGCCATTCTAGGTTAGTGGTTCTCACCCCTCCTTGTATCACTGACCCCTACCTAAGACAGCAATCCCCCCGAACACTCACCCTTGCTTAAACTCTACAATACTTACCCATGGTGGGAAGATGGGACAGGTTTTTCCTGTGTAGCAAGCATGTTGTAATGGAGTGTTTGAGGCTAGACAAGGTATTATGTAAAGATCACAAGTGACACCATATCTGGTGTTGATTACAGATTGGGCCTTAACAACCCATTGGCAAAATCAACACTGGCCAAGGGTTGGGTGAGCCTCTCTGCAGTTTTCTGCAAGGAACTAATGTTTCACAAAAGAGCTAATGAGCCAAGCTTCCTGCACACATCAGAGAAAAGTTGGGAGAGCTTCCCCAGTAGGGGAACATTGCCATATGGTACGAGAGCTGACGAATGTCTACAAACTGGAGGAAGCTCTCAATGCATTTATAGAACTCATTCATCGAGGAGTAGCTACAGGGCTTTTAGGCCCCCAGTGACTCAATGCAAACCCAAATAGCTAAATTAACATATGGAGGCAGGAGATTCTGGGCTCCTCCCTAGGCTTCTCTGCATTAGGAAAGGTTTACCCTGCTGTGCTCATCTGCGCTCCTGCCATCTACAAACCACAGAACTAGATGTTTTTTTCAAACATATCCTGGTGCACAGCAGGACAGCCCTTTTAAAAATTAGATTCATTCCGTTAAAATTACCATCTTTACTCTATGTCCCATCTAAGCCTGTGATTCATTGCTCCCTATAACTGCTTCTGCTCCCATCCATGGAGGGTGATCCACCATTACCCCATACACCATTAGCGAGCTCCCTACTTGTGCTGCTACAAACACAACTATTTTGGTAGGTGAACAAATCCTTTCAGAAAGCAGCCCAGACCTGCAGCTCTCTCCTGCTGAGCTGAACTCTGCTGTAACCACAGTGTTTTGCCTTGTTCAGAATTCTGGGCTGCCTCTCACAATTCAGGCAAGAGGTGCAGCTGCAAAGGCACCTTTGAATTTTTGGTAGAGGTTTGTGTGTGGGGGCAGGGTTGTTTAAATGGTTAAAAACAGCGTTTGTATTTCTGATATAAAACAGGCAACAGACAGCAGCTCAGATTAGACCCCTCCTGTCAGGGTGGGTGCCAGCTCATTACCTACCTGAGGCTTGCCGATTGCCAGCATGTACTTACACAGGAAGCTTTGAGGAAGATAAAGGAGCAAGGTGGGTTCATACCTTTCTTTGAGCTGTGACACAGTTGCACTGCCTGTTAGGTTTATTTACCAGCTGGGAAGTATTTGTCTAACTCCCCCTTCACACTGTTTATTCTTACTGTGCCTGTTGCCGCCCTTGGTACTTTAATGTATTTGCTTTTCCTTGTGTAAAGAAATTCCACCTTAAGGCCTTCAGTGCTTAACATTTCCTCCACTGCTCCCTTCCCAATCGTGAGTGCGAGCCACAGAGCAATTTCGGTGCCTGAACTCCAGAGTTAGGTGCCTTTCTCCCCAACATGGCACCACTGCGTGGCATGCAACCCTGCTTAGCTGCAGGCACCTAAACTCACTTGCTGCCTAACTTTTCACTGTAAAAGTTTCACAGGCACCAAATTTTAGACCCCAGAGCATGTGACTACCTCCTTCTCTAGACATCCAGATGCCTCTCTCTCACCCCAGACTCACGGAGATTCATGAACCAGGGGCAGGCAGCTAGGTGTTCAGCTGCCTACATTGTGTGTGGGACCCAAACCAACACCTCTGAGCATGCTGACCACATCAAGTACCATTCAAAACCCATGAGGAAGAGGTGCCCACCTTATAACTTTTAGCCTAGCGGTTAGAGCAACTGCCTAGGGATGTGGGAGATCCACATTCAATTCTTCCTCTCTCATAGGAGAAAAAGGATTAAAACTGGGCTCTCTCACTTCTCAGGAAAGCGCACTAATCACTGAGCTATAAGATATTTGAATGGGGGGTGGGAGGGCTCCTTTAGTGGAGGCTGTATTAGTGTGGATAAATAATGAAAGCACAGCCAAATGACTGTTCCATTGAAATACTTTTAGTGGAAATTGAGGGCACACAAAATCTTGTAGAATTGGGCCTTTATGCTGTAGAGCTGGGCTTAGCTGAGGCCACCTAGCTATTTTATAGCTCTGCTAAATAACAAGTAATGATCAAAAACTTCTCCTCCCATCCCCAAGCAGCAATGCATCCCTGCCTCCCATTTCAAACATTAGTTCAATCTCGTGACCAATCTTTACTCATTTATGAGAAACTGTCCTGCAGCTGTCTTTTGCTGTGCAGCAGTCATTGAGCATAAGGGATACAAAGCGACAATAAAGCCTGAACATACTTTTTTCCCTGCTATCATACATGGTTTAACAGGAGTTAATTTCCATGCCTCCTGATTTTTGCTGTATTTTTTTATGGCCATCCCCTTAATCCACTCCATTTACTAGCTGATAGAAGTGTTGTGAGGAGATTTAAAGAAACTTCAGGTCCATTCCAACTTTCCACGATACATGGCTCACCAGCTCCTCATGGTGCCAAAACATAGTAAGAATCTGCTTGTGAATCATGTTGTCAACTGTAAAGGAAAAACTACCCAATAAACAGAAATGTTGCTGCTCTTGGACTGCTTAGCAAACGGTGGCAACAGCAACTTCTCCCCTCTCCATGCTGTAATCTCATTACTTCGATGAAAAGAGCTAGATAAGAGTAAGGCATTATTACTGGATAACATGATCTAGGAATACTCTCCCCTCCCCTGGCCCCCCACCCCAATCATTTTGAAAATGTAACCCAAACAACAAACCCAATTCTACAAAATAGAAAACACTTGCTTTTTAAATTGGTATCTTTCTTTATTCTTGGTACTGGATTCTCCAAGTGACGTGTCTGATTGGGAGGAGGGAATCGGAGGTGGACTGATTTCTTTCCCCCTCCTATCATATACTGTAATGATCAAAGACGGAAAAGCATTCTCTTTGGGGGGGAGACCTAATGCTGATATCACACCACAGACAGAAGTATTTCTGTGTATTGACTGAACAGCTAATCTGGAACAGATATTAGAAGTAGTAAGTGTCTGCACAACAGTGCTGCAGGGCAAATGCGTGAGGATGTGTGTCTGTGTGTTAGTTAGTTACTTCTTGGTAGCAGCAGGGGCACCAAATAGGGAATGGGGAGAAAAACAAGCAAATTACAGTACCTTAGAGTGACCAACCCACTGTCCTGCCTCTGACCCACTTTGGCAGGCTGTCCAAGCAGTACAGAATGTTGCTGTTCAGCTAGGCAATGCACTTAGCATAAAGTGACTCAACAACCCTATTTTGTCAGACCGTTCCAGGGATTTTAGACACAGGTCAGCGGAACTGACTTTTCCCATGTATTCAAGAAGATAAAGAGAAAGCAGAGAGCCAGAGGCAAACCCTCCAGTCTGTCAGCATTGGAAAGTCTAACAAGGATCATAATGTAATGAACTTTAACTCCCCTCCTCCCAATCCCACAATCACTTCTGTTTATTTGACTGGGCATTTTGGAAGAATTCATTGGGCCAGATGCTCATTTGGTATGAATCAGGGTTGTGCTGTTGAAATCAATGGAGCTATGCTGTTTTACATAGGCTAAGGAACTGGCTCACTGTCTCCAGTGAGGCTCTCGGTTACATATTCATACTACTTCATTTTACACTGACAGCTCACTCTTCCATCAGCATCCCCTTCTTCTGACAATGGGCCCTACTTTCTTGGATCCCAGCTGTAATCCAGTGCTGCAGCAAAAGCTTTTCTATTTTGAATTAGCCATTTACATTTGGTATGATAGACAAGTATACCAAGGACTAACAGCTTGATTTTTCAGAAGAGCTGCAGCTTCCATTGATATCAGCACCTCTAAAAAAAATAAAAATCAGATACTACACTCTTCCCTGGTACTGCTTTTTATTATGTATGAGAGGGTCAAAGGCTTTTTTCATTCTCATTTTTTCCATTAGAAATATCAGGAATGTAAAGTCTGTTTTTTGGGGATTTTGCGAGAGAAGTTGTTGGCAGTCTCATGCGTATTCCAAATTGTCCTAAAACTTGACTGGAGGGGTAGAGGTGTGGAATCGAAGGCTTTTCCCCCTCAACTTTTTGTAGGATATTTGTACTAAGTATGTGTTGATGAAAACAACCTTTATTCACTGTTTAAAACACTTTCCACCTCAACCAGGTTTCACTTTCTTAGTACTTGTTTTGTCACTGTTCTACTAGCTTTCCAGAGATTCAATTATCCAGGATACAAAAAATGTGTATTTCCAATAAAAAAACAAGAACAATTCAGGCCTTTGTTATACATCCTTAAAGCAGCAAAAGAGAGCAAAAATCACTTTTCTTCTTACCTTTTGAGGCACCTTTAAATGATCCTCGCGTTTACTTTTGATTTTGCACTCTCAGATCACAAGATATAGATATCCCAAAACCAAATTTTTGGGCAGAGTTGTGTAGCTAGACTACTAAATCCTTTAACTTGGAACCACAATTAGAGGCAGGGACAAATCAGAGACGGCCTAATTTTAAAAGGACACATGTATGTATGATGGACGTCACTGAACTGGATTATATTTAGAGTAGCAATGTCCATAGAAAATTAAAAATCACATAGTGAGGGCACATTGCTTACTGTGGGGGTGAGAGGAATCTTCACCAACCTAGTCTGAGATAGCCAGAAAAGTGCTTGAAGTAATAAAACTGCCTTTCAGAAGGTTCTGCTGAATGCAAAAAGTGATGTTACCAGTACTTAAGTCTGAAGGCTAGTGGGTTGTAGAGCAGACTAAGGCTTTTCATTGGGGGTAGTGCAGGGTGTAGCCATGCTGGAGGGGTTACATTCTTTCTGCGGAGAAATTCTGTACACAGATATCTCCCTCAGGCACTGGGGGTGGAGACTAGAGGACTGGAAAGGTAGTTGTTGGAAGCAGGGACAATTACATTTAAGTCATTTGCATGCAAGTTTGGCAATGAGAGATTTCCATTCTGCCCTCTTCCGTGTGATATAAGAAGGAGTGAGGAGCTGCAGTACTGGCTCCTGCTGTCCCCTAAAGTATCCCTGACACAGAGCCTCTGTGTTACAGATCACATACATTCCGCAGTCATAGCTGTTCTGCTGGGCAGGGGCCTTCTCCTCTACAAAGGCCACTTTGCCTCCTCTTTTTCCCAGAAATGCCTCCAGCTTCCCTGCCACCAGCTTGGCATGGGCAGAGTTGCTCTTACTGTGGGAGTCATAATGGGCAAAGCAGTTTTTGTCCCGGAAGTAAACCAAGAGGCTCCAATGGGTGCCCCCAGCAGCCTGGTTGGAGTTATCATTGATGGCCAGGAACACAACCTCCTTGTGCGGGAGGCCCAGCGGCTTCAGGAACATGGCTACTTCCTCCTGGCTGGTGGCACACTTGATGAACTGAGCCACTTCAGGGCTGACAAAGCATACTTGTTCGGAAAAGTCTTGGAACTGGTCACTAGCAAAGTACTCAAAAGCAAACCCAATGATATGGTCATTAAGCCAGCTGGGGGGATCCAGCAAGGAAACATCCGACTGCCTCAGCAAACTGTCCACATAACTCAGAACAACAGGGTCCATTCTGCACAGGCAGGGGCCACAGCAGTCCAAGTAAGGTCAAAAGCTAAGATAAACCAAAGGGGATAAGATAAGTTACTATCCAAATAGGCTGCACCTTTTATACTGTGAAGGAGCAACTATATCTGACATTGAGTCATGTGAAAACTAAGGGATTTTCCCCACCTGTGTTTAAGGAATGAGGGTTAAATAATCGATCACATTTCAAGAAATGTAAAAAGGGAGAGAAGGGAGGTTTGCAAGTACATTCCCCCTACCCAGTGATGTGTGGAGGAGGATGCGTGGGGCCTCCTGGATCCCCAGGCTAATCCTAGAAACTGCATTGCAGTGTTCCCAATAATACGTCGGCAAGGAAGGATGGTTCAGTGGTTGGAATGCTAGTCTGGGCTGTGAGAGATGTGGGTTCAATTCCTGCTTTGCCACAAGCACCCTGTGTAATCTTGGGCAAATCACTTGGTCTCTCTCTGCCTGACTTGTAAAATGGGTATAAACAGTAATTCTCTACCTCCCAGGGCTGTTGTGAGAATAAACACATTCAAGATCATGAGGTGATCAGACACTATGGTGATGGGGCCAGATAGGTACCTAAGATAGACAGATGGATACATGGCTCGTGATGTCAGAAGAACTACTTGGTCCACGCAAAACTGCTCGTCTTCCAGCTTGATGGAAAGGCAGCTGCCTGTAATGGGAGGAATACACTAAAGTAAAACAAGATTACTAACATGATAAAACTCCCCCACATGCAAGCACTCCTTAGGACCCAATTTAGCAACTTTGTTACTTCTTGGACTGTTATGACCACCCCTCCCTTCCCTTATTGCAAAATACGAAGGAGATTTTGGGTTAGTCCTGGTATAGAAAAAGACTGAGAACCCCTCTGGGTTAGAGCATAAGAACTGGGATGTGAAACTGACTAACAAAGGTGAAATTGACTAATCTAATGTCCAAGTGAAATGCACATTAATGAGACAGCATAAATAATAAAAATGAAATCAGACTTTTAAAATCAAATTTTTAAAAAAGTATCAACACAAGGAAGGAAAAGAGCTATTTAATAGTAAATAATAAGCACTGTCTGCACTTTCAAACCCAGATTAGGATTTGCCCAGTAGAAGATTCCCCTTGCTGAGGGAAATTGCTTAGTGGTGTGGGGCTGACTGACTTCTATGCCTCCCCATTTCCTCCCCTTGCCCAAGCATCTCCATGCCTGGTGATCCTCAACTGCTAAAACATGCTGGAATCCACAGGCTGCTCTACTTAATGCTGGGTACTGGGCTGACAGATTGATGGCCCCAGAATCAAGGAATTGTAAAGGTGGCTTTAAATAACTTTTGCTCCCACACACTCCCGAGCCATGCCACGTGCAGCACAGAAGCAAGCCAGGATTTGGCCCTATACTTCCAAAGTGCTGTGCAAAAATTAATGTGTCACTTTAGTATGATTCATTGTAACCAAGGCAACACCTATCCATTATGATAGAAAACAGCTCGAGCATGGTTTGTTTACACAATAGGAAGGAGTGGATTTGGGCTCTTCCTCATGGCAACAAAAAAAGCCTTTCCTAGGCTAGATGTATGTAAATGAAGATAAGCCTAAAATTAACCTATCAAATCTTGGCATGGTCCCTTTAACATGTGACTTTGCCAAAGAAAGCCTGTTAAATAGAATAACAATGACATGCATGTTAAATGTGTAATATACTGGAAGGAAGATCCAAGGTAACTTCCATGAAACAGGTTGGATGTGTAATACACAGGAAGGAAGGCCCAAGGTGACATATCTTAACTTTTAAAAGCCCATTATTATTTCTACTGAGCCAGACACAATGGTATCTGGGACCATTTCACATGTTACTTTGGACTCAGACCCATTATTTCCAAATGTAAGAAGCAAGTACAATGGAACAACCTGGAGTTTAGGACAGTAGAGAAAACATGGAGAATGCATTAAGTCTCCAAGACTCCCAAACTCTCACTTAACTGAAATACTGGATAAACAGGTATATACCTCGCAATACAGTCTAACAGTGGGCAGTCTTTGGCCAGTCTGCTAATGAGAAACTTCTCAGATGTGTGCTTCATCTTCTCCCAGAGACATGCAGATCAAAACAGCAAACTTGCCAATCAAGCCTTGCAAGGATTAATGGTTGCATGATGAAGCTTGCATTCTGAACTTTGTTCTTTTTCCTCCCTGTAGCAATGAAACTTGGCTTTCCATTTTTTTTTTAAGTAAATAATTTGGTGGCTTCCCACAAGGACTCTCTTGTTCCGATTATAATGAACAACACTTAATTGCTACTAGCTACTACTTTTAATTTTATTGCCATCTGGTATTTGTGAAACTGCTTGTAAGATCTGCATGATGACTCACCAGATGTATTGCAGAGCTTAAAGGAGAACACTTCACAGACTCTCATTTAATTCCAGAGCCACTCAGCATAAGTGGTACATACTGCACCACAAATAGTAGAGCCGGTTTGGAAAGTGCAGCTTTTTCTCTGTGAAACAGAACCTTCCAATTAGAACTAAAGATGAACTCTGTGTGAAGTTTGGATTGGATCCAAACTTTTCTACAGGTTAGGGGTGTTTCAAGTTCAAGTCACAAAATTCCAATCAGAATTTCCCACATATCTTAAGGGGAGTCTTTTTCAGCTCTCAGTTACAGATCTGACCTACTCTTTGTAGAGAATTTCTAGCATACCTCATACAAAATCCCTAATAATTTAGAAGAAATAGCAATTGGCTACAACGAGGACTACAGCAGTAATCAAGATTATAAACAAGAGTAATGCTCTGTTTTTTTGTCAAGTAGCTGTCTGGAACTTGTGAAAGCAACATATACTTCTCTGCTTTCCTGCTGGATAAAGCAACTGGGTATTGATTTTGAAACAAATGCAGATGGGCATGCCTTCTTTCTGAGTGGAAGTTGAAGATCCAGAGTATTTGGGGACACAGGAAAGTAATTTAAATAGAAATTTGACTTTTATATTAGTATTTGGGTTTATTCTATCAAGTCCCACTTCTGAAGTTGTCCAGATGGTTCAGTAATTTAAAAGGTTAGCTTGCATTAAGATGACTGAATTACCACATTAATATGCCATATTATTTTTTTCGGTCACATCTGAGTTATTGCAACCTTAATTTTTTTACTGGTTATTAGTAGCACTTAAGACAGAAGTGTGATTCTTAAGTTGATGGTGTCCCTTTGAAGCCAAAATTTAGGGTGGTGGTGGTGTTTTACTAAAATTTTGCAAAACCTGAATTATTTTAATAAAACATAAATGAAGACTTTTTAAAGTTGTGAACACAAACTGTGCCACGCTGTGCTAGTGCATGAGAACCAGGAAGTGAAACTGACTAGAAACTGACACAGAAAAAGTGAAAGTCTATTTTTATCATCTAACCTGAGCAAAAAAGAACAAACGGTGAAAAGTGAATCAGATTTTGTTACACTTCTGTTTTAATAATATGTTAAGAACATATGGATAGAATATTTTAAAATATGTTATTTATTGTGCTCTTTAGTAAATCTACAAAATTTGGAGAAAGCCCAAAAAACCAGCAGAGGAAGATATTATCCAAACCTTAGATACAGAAACATTGAGGAACAGAGACATTAAATGATTTGCCCAAGGTCATATAGGAAGTCTTTGGCAGAGATAGGAATATAAACCCACCTCTCAGCCCCATGATTTAACCACAGTACCATCCTTATAACCAATGTAGTTTTTGATGCCATGTCAGTGCTTTTTCATAGATTCCAGGCCCAGAAGAGCCCACTGAGGGTCATCTACACTTCAATACAAAACTTATGGCGTTGAGGTCAACTGATTGGAGCTCATGGGGCTCAGGCTGTGGAGCTAAAATAGCAGTGTAAACACTGGGGTCTGGACTGGAGCCTGGGCTCTAATACCCACTCCCCTCACGGGATTTAAGAGGCCAGGCTCCAGCCCACGTCTGAATATCTACATTGCCATATTTAACCCTGCTGCCTAAGTCCCACAAGGGCCAGCTATAGCCATGCCTCGGGTCTTTTTATTGTAGGTTAGATGTACCCTGTGATCATCTAGTTTGACCTCCTATATGGCACAGGCCAGAAGACTTCCCCAAAATAATTCCTAGATCAGATTTTTTAGAAAAACATCCAATCTTGATTTAAAATGGAGATTCCATCACATTGTTCCAATGGTTAATTTATCTGTTAAAAATGTGCCTTATTTCCCATCTTAATTTGTCTAGCTTCATCTTTCAACTATGGGATTGTGTTATACCTTTTTCTGCTAGACTGAGAAGCTAATTATTAACATTTGTTCACCATAAATACTTCTAGTCTATAATCAAGTCACCCCTCAACCTTCTCTTTAAGATAGATAAACTGAAGGAGCTCAACCTATCACTCACTATAAGGCGTGTGATTAGAGGATTAGAAAACATTCTCGTGGTGCTTCTCTGAACCCTCTCCAATCTGTTAAGATCCTTCTTGAACTGTAGGAACCAGAACTGGACACAGTATTCCATCAGCAGTCACATCAGTGCTTTACAGAGGTAAAGTAACCTCTCTACTCCTACTAAACATTTCCTTGTTTATGCATCCAATGATTGCATTCTCTCTTTTGGCCACAACATCACACTGGGATCTCATGTTGAACTGATTATCCACCATGACCCCCAAATCCTTTTCAGAGTCACTGCTTCCCCCAGCCTGTAAGTATGGCCTACATTCTTTGTTCCTCGATGTATACCTTTACATTTAGCCATATTAAAATGCATATTGTTTGCCTGTGTCTGGCTTACCAGGCGATCCAGATCTCTCTGTGTCAGTGACCTGTCTTCATTAATTATCAGTCCCCCAATTCCGGTGTCATCTGCAAACTTTCAGTGATTGTTTTTTTCCAGGTTATTAATATTAAATAGCATAGGGCCAAGAACCAATCCCTGCTGGATTTCACTAGAGGAACACATCTATTCAATGATGATTCCTCATTTACAATTACCATATGATAAAATGGATTTAAAAATAGCTAACTGATGTAACAGTAATGTGTCATGTTCATTTGATATCTTTCTGATTTTTTAAAATCAAAATGCCATGCAGTACCAAGTCAAAGTCTCATTTTCAATGGTATTGAAATTTGATGGGATATTGATTTCTACTTTGTCATTGACTGTCCTGGACTACTAGCATGACTACCACCAAATTGTTGTTTGCAGGACATTGTTAATTTAATCTACATCTTCATATAGGTCAGAGCTGCTAATATATTCTATTACTTAATTCCAGCACAATAAAACATCCTTCCAAAATTATGAAAATTTACCAGCCCAGGCACGAGGTTTACTCATCCACCGCTTACAATAAGTATGATTATTATTTACAAAAAACAAATGCTATTTGAATAACTTGTCAATTAAAGGTTATGCACTGTAGGGTAAGTCGAATGTCACAGGGCTTCAGTTAGGTTCTAGATGGTAGAAGTTAAGGAAAATTTTCACAGTTCTCACATGCCTACATACAGAAAAGACCGCATCCACAGACAATGCCTAAGCCTTCCAGTTTGTTACCAAAGCTCAGAGACCAGCCCGATCCAGCTGCAAGATGGAATAGCATTTTTGGTATTTACATATCAATAAAGCAAGCCTTAGAATTCTACTTTGTTTCAAAATCCTATATGGTAATAAAAAGTCTTTGAACTTAAATAAAATTTACACAGGCCAGGACTGCAGCCATGGGCTTATATTTTACTCAAGGGTGGGGGCAGGGAGAAAGATGTGAGATCAGCAGAGTACAGCAATCTGATCTGGGGGAGATGAAGCTTGGTGAACAGAAGGGGGAAAAAATCACCTCAGATAAAATCAGAATCTGGAACTTAAGTAGAAAAATCAGAAAGCAAAGTGGATCACTATTCACTTATTTTTCAAGCAGCATTTATTCAACAGAATATTGAAAAGGCCTAAAGAAAGAACATACTTAAATCAAAGTGTGCATCTTCCTCCTGAAAAAGAATACCATTCCGTATGGTGGAATTTAGTCATAAGAATTGCTTTGGGCACTATGTTGTTTGATCTTTTAAAAATAGTATCCACTGTAACTGACATGATAACATAGCTATCAAGTGACATGGCTGATCCCAGTGTTTTTAGTTGGTATAATCTGAGCATTTACAAATGTAGTTATATAATATTAGACAATAAGAGACTGTAACAGGATTGCTGTACCTCTCTGGGTGAGTATGCTCCTATGCCTCAGTTTTCCTTCTTTTGATGAATCAAATGCCACTCCCCTTCTGAGGTCTGAAGGCCATTCAGCTCTTCACACCCTTGTGTGTGGGCTCCCCAAATCCTTTCTGGACCTCTTCCCAGGGCTTCATAGATAAACTTGCATCACAGCTTTGCTATGCATCCCTAACAAGGCTTCACAATAGTCTTGCTTCTGCCCTAACTCCCTCTATATCAGGAGCGCTATTGATCCAGCCCTCCTCCTGTGAGGTGGCAGATTCCTGTTCACTTCTCCTTGTCACACAGAGGAGGTGCTGAAGCCTGGGGTTTACCACATGCACCCCAGGTGAGTGCTCTAAGTTTAACCACTGTGCTAAAGATGATAAAACTGCTGCTCCTCCTCTCCCACTCAGCTGTTTTGTGGAGTTAAGTATTGGGCTGCCTAAGCAGTTTGTGCGGCCTGATCACAAGGCAGGTGTGGTCACAAGCTGCCTATATCCCCCTGGTTGGTGGATCACCAGCAGATAGATGCCAAACCCTAAGAGAATGGGGTTCATCACACTCCCCTTGCCCCACATCTCCTATGAGCTAACGTGGGCAGCTCTCCCTTTGAACTGAAAGAACCCAAAGCTTTAGACTGCGGGCGGGGCATGCTGCAAGGCCCATGGGGAAGGCTCAGGCAGGGCATACAGGTAGGGTGACCAGATAGCAACTGTGAAAAATGGGACAGGAGATGGGGGTTAATAGGCGCCTATATAAGAAAAAGTCCCCCAAAACGGGACTGTCCCTTTCAAAACGGGACATCTGGTCACCCTACGTACAGGGGATGTGGCAGGGCTGGCTAGTTTATGGGGTAACAGAGACGGGGGTGCTTCTCGCATGAAGATGCTCCCAAGGGCACAGAAACACGCCCGGTTTGTCGAAGGCAGGCAGCTCTCCCCGCGGGGTTGACCAGGCACTGGCCCCTTCTGCCCGAACAAGCGCTTTCCCGAGGCAGCTCGGGGAACCCCCCACTCGGCTCAGACGCTGCAGTTATGAGCGCAGTGTGCAGACCTGAGGGGATAACGGGGGCTCCAGCGGGGCGGACTTTGCCCACTGAAGACAATTTGTGGGGCTCGAACCCCCCCGGGAGGAGCCAGAGCGGCCCCGACCCATGCCAAGGAGGGGCCCTTCCCACACCGCCGCGCCTCACCTGCCACCTCATAGCCCGGGCACCACCTAACCGCAGCAGTCCCGAGCCAGCAGGCCCCTGTCGGTTCAGTTGCTAATGACAGCCGTAAAGGTAGAAAAAACACTGTCGTAAACCGGCATCGCGCTGTACAACGCCCGTCGCGTGGACAAGGGAAGGGAGGGGGTCAAACTGGCTCCGCCCCTAAAGGGGGCTAATTAGCATAGGGCTCAAAACGAGGTAGCGAAAGCGACGCAGAAAGCTACAGCGCAGGCGCAGAAAGAGAGCGCGGAAGCCGCAGATGGTTAGAAAGGAGCGCGGCTGGAGAGCGGGACCTGGGCTAGTAGGGGGCGTGTTCTCTCGAGGCTCTGGGGGAGGGGCGTATCCAGTGGCCTCAGGGGACTGGCGGGGGCGCGGCTGGGGGCGTGTCTAAGTAGCGTGGCCGCGCGGGCTGGGCGCGAGTCAGTGCATCTGCCGGGCACGCGCGCCGGTGTATGTCGCGCGCAGGCTAGTTGGGCAGTGTGAGACGCGCAGTATCTGTGCGAGCCAGGGCGGGCGGGAGTTGGTGCCGGAGGATCCCGGAGAGCGACCTCCCTGCCAGTGCCTCCGAGCGAGTGGCTGGGGCAGCGGGGAGTGAGCTGAGGGATGCGCCGCGTCCCCAACACCCAGGTGAGAGAGCGGCCACTGCTGAGGGAACCTAAGAGACCTTCCCCACCCCATCCCGCGCGGGGCGCGCCCCGCCACTGCCCCCCCGCCGGGGCCCGCCCAGCTTTCTCTTCCCTGCGTCCGGGTGGGGGCGGACAGCCCCGCCCCCCCACGTCCCTGCATCCCCCGGTGGGGGGGACAACAGCGCCGGCCCTGCATCCCCCGGGTAAGGGGGGGCACAGCCCCGCCACGCCCCCCCCGTCCCTGCATCCCCCCGGGGTGGGCGTGGGGGACACAGCCCCGCCACGGTCTCCCCGTCCCTGCGTCCCCCCAGGTGTGTGTGCGTTTGGGAGGGATAAGCCCTGACACTGCTGTTCCTTCCGTCCCGTCCCTGTATCCCCCCAATGGGAGCGGGGAACCTGACCTGCCACTGCGCCCCCTGTCTTTCTCCCTTAGGCGGGTTTTTCAGCATCTGCATTCTTCCTCTCTTCAATCCTTTTTTATAATATCGACCATTGCCTCCCCAATAAGTGTAGTGTCTTTAGCTGCATCCTTGATGTTGCTGGGTCTCTTGCATGCATGCCTTGTGGCTCCCTCAGACAGAGAAGACAAGTCTTTATTGGAGTGGGGTGAATAAGACCATGCATTTCAGATGGGTGGGGTTATGCCCTGTATGTTTTCTTTGCTCTCTTCTCCCCCACCCCATATTCCTGTGTTGGTGCCATTGCAGCTTTTATTAGGGGAGGGGTATGCTGGGGCCCAGGGCCTCTGATGGGGAAGGGAGTATAAGATGCCTGGAAATAGCGAACTGTGCGCAGAGGCCAAGATTTTCGAACTTGGGTGTCTAAAGTTAGACCTCTACATCAATATTTAGCTAAATAAATACCTTAGAAATAGGTACCTAAATAAATGTGCTGATTTTCAGAGGTGCTGAGTACCCACACCTTCTGCTGACTGCAAAGCTGTTCCATTGAAGACAACGAGATTTGCGGGTGCTCAGCACCGGTAAAACATCTGCCATTTATATAGGTGCAAAGTTGTGTGTTGTCTTGGGTATCTGTAGGGCATGGTTTTGTGAGAACTAAATGGCAATGTTATATTCCATCTATTCAATGAAACAGGTTTTGCTTTATATTAAGAAAAACTTAATACATCTTTTCATTTGGTTATTGTTACAGAAGGTAGTTTGGCCTTGTAAAGCAAAACACTTAGTGTTATGGCCCCATCTGCGCTATAAAATCTACCATATTAGATACCTGGTTACAACATTTTGATCTTCCAGCATGGTTAATACAAGGTTTGGGCTTGCAAGCTAACTAAAACTGACAGATATTTTAACTGTGTTCCCAAATTGTGCTACAGCTTTGGACAAATCATACCTCTGTAAGAGGATGATAACGATGCTGGTCAATTGCTGAATCTGTGATTCTTTTCAAAATTAAAGAGCAAAGGGGGGAAGCTATTTTCAATTGGCAACCTATAGAAGAGGTCTCATTGTTTTTCCATATGTCTTTTATTAGAGTTGGATAGATTCCTTGTTGCATTAAGGATTTTCTCAAAACATTTGGTTTCTTTTACTGTTGTTTTACACTGGATAGGAAATAAGGTAAGTTACTTTTTGGCATGTCAGAATAGTGGCAGGATTTGTTGCAATACCTAAACATCTATGATTCATGGTCAGTGTTTTGGTGATATATTTGTTCGTGCTGATGCTTCATTCTCTCGGTGTTGCTCAAAGGGGAAAGTGGAGAACACTGCAGTGTAGACTACTATCTATTAGCAAGTTAGCAAAATTAGTGTCGTCAGTTCAAGGCTAGGAAATTACTCCAGGCAATAAATGCTTCAAATGATATTTCAAATGGTTATTAAAGGATGCAGTATCCTGATTAATTTTTTTATAGGAATACTTCAAACTATGGCATAGTGTGCATAATATACAGTGGACAATGTTACCTCTTTAAATTTATAATCAATTATTTTATTTTGAGTCTTCATTGAGCGTTATAGTTTTTGTGAAGCAAGCTTAAGTGATGAGTTTGTTTAAGGTAAAATGATGATGCAGACTGAAAAAATAATATTTTTGCCTTTAATGCCTTATCAAAATATTAGTCTTTTCAACCATACTTAAGGGTGGGAGGAGGATTCAGTGTTTGTCTTTTTTTTCTGACTTAACATTAGTGTTTACATAATGTATTTTCATTAGGGCATGGTTAGTATAGAGGTGTTGTGTGATTTAAATGTTTTTTAAAACTGTAAATAGAGGCGTAAAATGTAGATTTGTGAATAGAATGTGTTCTCAGTGAAAAAACAGTCAGGACTTTTCTACATGAGTGTTGGGTTTTTTTGGGGTGTGTGTGGAGTAAGGAGAATTCCCCATAATTGGTAACACTAATAGGAAAGCTACATAGACAAGGAATCAGGTGAATGCTGGTATTATAAATACTGTGTCATTAGATCTGTTTTGGATGGGGTTCGATAGGATATTAAACACTGTTGCCTGTGGGGAGTCTTGTCCTAGGGTTTCCAGTGTTGCTGCCGCTAGTGGACCTGTATAATAACAGCAATGGGGGAAATGTTTGCAAAACATCTAGCATAGACATAGCTCTGGTGTCAAACTTCAAGAATACATATTGTGATGGCCTTTGCTATTATTCAGTTTAATTATTTAGCAATTGCAATAAAATAGACTGTAATGCTAATAAATAAGAGCTGCATTTAAACCTCTTTTAGCCTCTAATTTAGATGATATATCCTGATTTTCAATAAATGCAATATTCTTAATGTATAGTACTTAACTCTTAGCATGAAAGGTGCCTTAATACTTCACCAAGGTTTTGAGTACTGTTCTTCGAGGTTAAAAAAAAAACCTATTCTTTTCATTATTCTAGAATTTTTCTTGTGTAGAAAAATGTCTACTTTGCTTTAGGAAAAAAGAATCTCCAAACAGGATTTGCTGTAGTGTCAGTCTAACTTAAGTGATATAGAGGAGTTTTTACAGTATCTAGCTGTCCTTGTCCTTTTATTATTGGAACAGTCTTGCTTATGAATATTTTTGGCAGCCCTCATTTCATATAGTTACATTTCATACCCTGAGGTCATGTTGAGACTAGTAATTTAGAATATGACCAAAAGTAATCATGGCTTTCAGATGGTTTGCTGTAGTGTATGTTATTGTGACTGTCAGACTAGTGGGCAATGTCTGCTCTGTAGTGGTACTACACAATAGAGTGGGGTGGCCAAACTTACTGACCCTCTGAGCCACATACAGTAGTCTTCAGAAGTTTGAGAGCTGCAAGACACGCACAACCTGCCCGATGGGACAGCGTCTACCGGGGCGCGGGGCTAAAGCCCGGAGACTCCCCTCCCTGCAGGGCAGAAGCCCCTATCTCCATCACCCTACAAGAGGGCAGAAGGTCCGAGTTCCCCCACCCAAAGTCTGGTAGGTGGAGAATTGGAGAGAAGCATGATGGGGATCCGCAAGCTACACTTTAACTGTAAAAGAACCGCATGCGGCTCACAAGTCACGGTTTGGCCACACCTAGAGGTTAGGAGCAAGCGTAGTGAAGAATGTTATGTAAAGATAAGTATTGGAGAAAGTGAATTAAAGCTCAGTTATAAGAAGAAAATTTAATGCTCTGTTTTAACTTGTGAAGTTGATTACTGAAAGTCACTGTCTGCAGTTAAGTTCAGTGATATAATTAGGAGATTGTAAAACTTTATTTTTCAAAATATAGTTTAAACCTTTGTTTCAGTTTCACAGTGAAGTGCTAGGAATTGGATTGTGAATCTTTTCTTCCTCTCAACTCCAGCAAATTTTATATAGCAAAGGGGTTTTGCACATCCTCAAGATGATGACTGGAGTAGACTAAGGCACCAATCCTGCACTTGCCTGTAATTAAACAGGTGCTTATGTCAGTGAGGCTGCACCATCACCCTGTACTCAAGTGTAGAGCATCCCTCCTTTAGTGTTCGAGTATAGAGTTAGATGACTAAAATTTCCTTTACAGATCATAAATGTATGTATTCATTAATCTTGCTTACCATGGCTTTTTTTTCTAACTAATACTTGAGAATTAAACTTGCTCTTGTTCCTAGGGACTATTGCTGTGTCAGGCTACATAGACCCGACTCTGAACTGCCCTTCCACAGTTCCTATTGTAGCAGGCATGCAGAGCAGCCTCTTCCCAGGTTTCTCCCAGTATTCTCTTCTCCAGACTAAACAAACCCAATTTTTAAAATCTTTCCTCGGAGGTCATGTTTTAATCATTTTTTGTTGCTCTCCTCTGGACTTTCTCCAATTTGTCCATATCTTTCTTGAAGTCTGGTGGCTGGGATTGGACACAGTGCTCCATCTGAGACTTTACCAGTGCTGAGTAGAGTGGAAGAATTACTTCTGTGTCTTGCTTATAAAACTCCTGCTAATACATCCCAGAATGATGTTCACTTTTTTTTTTGGCAACAGTATTACATTATTGACCCATATTTAGTTTTTGATCCACTATACCCCTCAGATCCTTTTTTGCACTACTCCTTCCAAGCAGTCATTTCCCATTTTGTATTTGTGCAATTGATTATTCTTTCCTAAGTATAGTACTTTGCATTTCTACTTACTGAATTTCATACTATTTATTTCAGACCATTTCTCATTTGTCAAGATCCGGATTAGAATTCAAAATGTCCTCCAAAGTGCTTGCAACCCCTCCCAGCTTAATATCATCCGCAAACTTTATAAGTGTACCCTCTATGCCATTATTCAAATCATTTATGAAGATATCGAATAGAACTGGACCCAGGACAGATCCTGCGGGACCCCACTATATATGCCCTTTGAACTTGATTGCGAACCATTAATAACTGCTCTGAGAGTATGGTTTTCCAGCCAGTTGTGTATCCACCTTATAGTAGGTTTGTCTAGGCTATGTTTCTCTAGTTCATTTACGAAAAGGTCATGTGAGACAGTATCAAAAGCTTTACTAAAGTCAAGATGTATGACATCTACTGCGTCCCCCCATTCACAAGGCTTG